CACACACACACACCAGCAGAAAGCCCATGTCTCTGCTCTGACGGACCACCTCTATCAGCAGAAGGGTCTGGTCCAGTTGGCTCAGGATCAATTTAATCACTTTAGCCCAGCAGAACCAAACAACAGATTTATGGATCCGTCTGTTTCCTCCCATCAGAACAAATAAAACTCTTCCCTCTGGGGGTCTGTGGCCCCCTGAGGGTCTCTGACCATCAAAAGTGACGACTTATTTCCATCTGCTGAGTCAGCAGGTTTCTGCCGTTCTTCAGCTTTTTTCTGCTTTCTGATAATTTCAGCTTTGTGCTGCAGTTTTAGTTACTATTCAGCTAAAATAATTTTTTCAAGATAAGTTCACATTTTGGTGGCCATTTTAGCTTCTTTCTGCTTAATTCAGCAAATGTGCTCCTTGTGCCTTTATGCTAAATGTTATTATTTTAGCTGTTTTACTGCCCGTTTTGGCTGTATCAGCTGTTGTCACTTTTTTGTACTTTTTTTTGGCTAATTTGATTGTTTTTTTTACACCACAAACACTGTCTGTGTACTTTTGTTTCCACAACCTTTAGCTGCTGATTTTAGCCTGTTTTTGACTATTTCTGCTCATTTCTGCTTTTTGAGCTTTTTTCTGTTTCTTACAACAAATTTAAGCTTTATGTACTTCTTTCAGCTGCATTCTGCTAATTTCAGCTGCTTTATGTTTTAGCTATTTTACATTTTTTTACTTATTTTCTGCTAATTATATTTTTTCACTCCTTCGATCTGGTAATTTATTTTAGCTTTCATTTGCTACTTTTAGCTACTGTTAGCCTTGAAGTAATTAATTTGATTCTACCCACTTTATTAACCTTCATTTCTGTGAATCCAACACAGAAAACAGCCTTTTATGAAGAAAAACATTTATTTTTGAGATATTTTCAGTGCTCGGTGTTCAGTTCATTACTGAGGCTCCAGCAATTAAACCGTTCCGTTCACTCGACGGCTGCAGACGGTTTACTGCGGCGAAGGTGTCCTCTAAGAGTTTAATTAATGAAAGCTAAACAGCCAAATGAAACCATCTTAAATGAGTTTTAATGAATCCTGAAGCTTCGGCTGTGAGCAGGGATGTGATGAGCGGATGGAGAGCTGCTGGTTTTATTACAGAGGTTCAGTCAGCTGCCTTCTTATTGGTCGTCAGGTGAGAATAACTGAACTCTTTGATGGTTCAATTAGATCAATCAAGATATCTATCCATCCATCCATCCATCCATCCATCCATCCATCCATCCATCCATCCATCCATCCAT